TGGTCTCACTTGGGCACTTATCATATGGCTTCTTTAAAAACAATAATTATTGTTGTTATAACATCTCATTTTGCTAAAACCAATATCACTTTATTTATTTATGGTAAGCTTACTAAAGATGGTGAGAGGGCTTTTCATTTTAAGTCTCCAGGGCACACACAATCTAGGGTACATAGTATACACTCATTCAATGCTTGTTGAATTAATGGGAACATGAATTGTGAACAGCCAATAAGAAAGTACATAATCTTGTTTGTGGCCAACAACAATTAAAGAAAAATCGGCAACTTAGACAACAGGGCACTAGTGGGGAGTCGTCAGTATTCTGTTTTCTAACTAAATTTACATGATGCTAGATTTAATTAATAGGTTGTCAAGCATCACTCCCTTTCTCGAAAGAAAGTCACTGGCTCTAACTTTCCTATGAGTAAACATACTTCCTAGTGCTTGAGTATCCCCAAAGTGAAAAGAAAAATGCGGCAGGGAGAGGCGTCTCAGTCCCCAAGTGTTGTGGTCGTAGCTCTCACCATGTGTCCAGAGACTTGCAGCAACTGCCTTGAACACACTTTTCCAGGCAGTCTTCTCAGCAGGTGAACAACGTTCATTCATCCATCCTTCCCTCATTCACAGAGGTCCTGCCCTGACTGGGCTGCTCCCCACTTCCTCACCTTGGGTACCTCATTCTCTGGAGATTTCAGGCTAAGAGTGAGCAATACAAATGTTTTCTTGCCTTTTGTCTTTGTTATAGCTCTGGAATCTTCTTTCCCCCTCAAAATCTAGCAAAATCCTATCCCCCAGTGCCAGATTAAATTCCCTTCCTGCATAATTCCTACCATAGCTCCTTCCAGGCCCTGGTGACCGTGTCGTCCTCTGAGCTTCAGCGTAGTTAGTCTGGCCTACTGCAGAGCCCTTGCCATGCTGGTGCGTGATACCGAGAATGTGTACATCTTCCTCATTTGGTCATGGACACAGGCCATATCTCACCTTTGAATTCCTAGCACTGGGCACCTAAAAGATGTGTTCTGAAGAGCATGTGGAATTGTATAACTAACTCCTCCCATCATCCTAGTACTTACTGACTTAAACTACTCTTTTACTGCGTGGTACCAGCACTTACTGAATGCTGTGTTTCTGGCACAGGTTTACGTACTTTATTTACGTGGATGAGCTCATGTGATCTTGACAACAGTCCCATGTTCACGGTCATCATCCCAAATTTTAAGATGATGCCATTGGGGCACCGAGTGACTGAGTAACTCACACGAGCACACAGCTGAGTGCGTCAAGGCTAGGATCTCGCAAGCTACCCTGACGTTCCCCTGCCTCCTGACTTCCAGAGTAAACTTTGTTTCTTGATCGCCAATAAATAAATTAGATGGAAGAGGACCTAAAGGGTTGTGGGTTTACTGTGTTGTGACACAATTGGTTTCAGAATTTGTGCTGACTGGGAGAACTGGTTGGTTTTGTTTGTTTGTTTGTTTGTTTTGAATTGGAGTCTCACTCTGTCGCCCAGACCGGAGTGCAGCGACATGCTCCTGGCCACTGCAGCCTCGCCCTGCTGGGCACCGGTGATCCTTCTGCCTCAGCCTTCCAAGCAGCCAGAACTACAGGCGTGTGCTACCACGCCCGGCTAAGTTTTGATTTATTGTAGAGACGAGGTCTCACCAAGTTGCCCAGGTGGGTCTCGAACCCATGGGCTCAGACAATCCCATTCATCTCACCTTCCCAAAATGATGGGATTACAGGCTGAGCCACTGAGCCTGGCCAGGAGAATTGTTTGATGGACATAATCTTGCATGCCAAATGCCAAAGATAGAAAAACCCACTGTCGGTGCTGTGTATAGTACCTGATTTTCTATGTGTAGCAGTGTGTAATGTTAATATCACAGACCCGGATTCAGTTCCCTGCCCTGCTTCTTTTTTATCTGTAGGACCTTGGCTGACTGCTCCAGAAGGAGGTGACAGCGGGATTGTCTGAGGACTCAGTTACACAAGTAGAGGACTTAGCAAGGGACCAGCAAAGGGGAGTATGTAAGGGGTTTCCAAGATGATCCCAGGCTCAGTGCTTCATCAGAAGGACTCATGGGACTTAGCGTAGAGTCACATTCATGACTAAGATTTATTACAACAAAAGGGCACACAGCAAAGTCAGCGAAGGCCAAGTCCAGAGAAAGCCAGGTGCAAGCCTCTAAGAGTTCTCGCCCTGTGGAATTCCACAGGATGTGCTTAATTTCTTCAGTAATGAGTTGCAACATGTGAAATACTGCTTATCCGGGAAGCTCATTAGAGACTCAGTGCTCAGAGGTTTTATCGGGGGCTGGTAGGCGCCCTTGCCCAGCACACAGCCAAGTTCTGCACTCCCGGGAGGAAGGCATACGCCATGTTGCTTGTACACACTGTTGGGCACAGTGAGCCACTCTTTACTGTTTAGGCAAGTTTCATGTTGATGTGGGGAATAGTTTCCAGCCAGTGCCCATCCTTAGGTCAGGCCTTTCTACAGATGGCCACCCTGGCCTGCCGCACTACTCTTTTCTGCACAGTCAGACACCAGCCTTATGATGGTGAATATTTCCTGTGCATTGATGAAAAGCAGCATCATAGCTGGAACCATGATGCTCTGTTCTTCTGAAGGCAGAGCAGTCGGCGAACACGTGGCATGGTGGCATTCGAGAGGAAGGTGTGTTCAGGTCATTCCCTTGGCACCATTCATTTCTGGGGCATTGGTTCCCGTTTCCCACTCAGCCACATCCCTTAAAACCCTCCAGGGAATCCTCAGATCACACCCGTTTCACCTCTTCAGAGAATGTGCAGCCCCTTTCAGTTTCTTCCTCCTGTGACACACATAGTTAACTGTGCAGGCTGGGTCTTCAAAATATACTATGCTATAGTCTTTGTCTATTTTGTATCATTCTTCAGCAGGTCTATGAGTATTAGTAAAAATACTGAGAAGAATTAAAAACTTCAAGGGCCGAGCAGGTTACAGAAAGGAGGGGAATGGGTTTCAAGGATAGTAGATGGTGAACACTTTCAAAAGAAAATGGAACCTTCCTACCCCCAGAGCAAGGTGTCCATTTAGAGCTGCTGGATTCAATTGACTGTGATTTTCTTTAGGTCATAGATAATTTCCCATATGATGTCATTATTTCCCCAATAGGATAATATTATTTTTTTGCCTATTCAACAATATTTATTCGGTACACCTGTAGGCCAAGGATACAAAGATGGAAAAGATAAAATCTTTGCCTCAAAGATGTCAGTCTCAGAGGAAAACAGACCAGTGATGAGACAATTACATGACAGTGTAATCAATTCCACATTGAAGCACTACAGTCACTATCAGAGGTTACCAGGAACCTTGTCTGTTTGCACAGGGCATGGTTCCTCTGGGACCTTGGAGTGCAGCACTTGGAGTACAGTAGGCATCTAATGTATATCTGTTGAGTGAATAAATGAAAGAATGAATGGTGCGTCATCCCAAAAGAGTTTGATTGATTCCTAGAAACACTTGGGAGAACTTTATAAAAATACAGGTTCCTGGGTGTGACTCCAGACCCATTGGATCAAAGTTGCTAGGAATGCTGCCCATAGACCTGATTATCTGGAGTTTTCTAAGTGACCACAATACTGGGAACATTGGCCTATGGGGGTGCTTCCTTGTTTGCTTCCATTCACGCTATTGCTGAGAACTGGGTGAGGGCAGTAAGTGCAGGTTCTTGGGAGGGGAGATGGCGGGCTGAGCTTTGATGTGCACCTGAACTTGTGGTATACGAGGGGAGATCCGCCCCCCGAAACCAGAATTATCTTTGTAGTACAGGCTTCCCCTGCTCGGTGAGTGTTCTAGGAACCCATCAGCATCAGCATTCTAGCTAGCCTTGTGAGTGGGCTGCTTTCGGCTTCAGTGAATTTTTGGGAGACTCTTTCAGTGCATCTGCCCACTTTGTGATGGATGATTTACAAACAACTACACACACCTCACTCAGTGTTGAGTGTTTTTTGACCAGGAACAGCGTGAGCGCCGTGCCCCACCTTCCCTATTCACCTCATCTCTCCCCGAGCAACTGTTTTCGCGTTTTCCCGACGACAAAAGTCCTCACCGGGAAACATTTTGCTGATGTGGAAGAGAAGAAACAAAAAGCGTCAGAAGGCATCCAAATTAATGAGTTCAGACACTGTTTTGAGCAATAGAGAAAGCATCCCGATAGGCGTGTTGCCTCAAGCAGAGAGTACCCTGAAGGTAACTGAAGTTTAAGCACCTAAGAACAAACACACACATTTTTGTAAATAAATTCCAGAATTTCTTTGGGTCCCCCCTCATAAATACCCTTGCCCAAACCCATAGACTGGGTTGTCTGAAGCAGCAGGGGCCAGAAACTTGGTGAGTTGCTTTCAGGAGGACCTGCCTAGGGGAATTCAATTACTGATCTTGGCTGTGGGGCTTTGCCTGCTGTATCATTTCAATTATCAAAAACTAACCTCTAGCCGGGCTCGGTGGCTCAGCCTGTCATCCCCCGCCTTTGGGAGGCTGAGGTGAGCGGATTGCCTGAGCCAGCGGGTTCGAGACCCGCCTGGGCAGCGAGACCTCATCTCTACAGTAAATCAAAAAATCAGCCGGGCGTGGTAGCGCATGCCTGTAATTCCGGCTACTTGGAAGGCTGAGGCGGAGGGATCGCCGGAGCCCAGCAGGTCGAGGCTGCGGTGGCTGGCAGCGGCCACTGCACTTCAGTCTGGGTGACAGCGTGAGACTCCAACTCAAAAAAACCCAAAAAACCCAAAAAAAAAAAAACCCAAAAAACTAACCTCTTAGGCAAGCAGGGTTTCCCAGGTGACCTGTACTCCAAGAGCATGTGTATTTGCATAGCCCTTTAGCACCTGTTAGCATGTTTTACCCACGGGTCTCTATCTTCTGGGGATACCACTTGCCAATGCTTGCTGAATGGGGTGAATCTATCTGAAGTTGTAAATGAGGTGATATCCATTCCCATTTGTTTTTGTTGTTGTAGAAGCAAGCACATGGAGAAACTGGAAGTAGATCCTGGCAAGCATTCATTCCCTGATGTGACCACCATAGTTCAAGAGAAAAAACACACAAGACTGAGATCTGAACTCAAAGTGATACCAAGTGAGGAAGACCCAGACTTTGAAGATAACCCTGAGGTGCCACCATTGATTTGAAACACCCGACTGCGTTGACATCGACTGTGACTCACCAGGCCCAGTTTTGTGCGTTATTTATGCGGTAAACACAGAGTTATTTGTCGTGATTACCGCTCCAATGTTTTGAGTCTTACTTTGTATAGTAATATTCTTAAACTAGTTTAAAATTAAAATTTCTGCCTTAAATGCTATAAATCTTCATTTGTCTGTAACACAGGGTGAGCACTGAAAATGTTTGGTGAGATCACAGAGCTGTAAACATTGATTATGAATTACAGGACCGCCTGCTTATGCAATAGATTAAGTCATAGATAAAAGGACTGGTGATTAAATTGGTACTTCAGCAAATTGGTCAGGCTTCGAAGTTAAAGCTGTAATTTCAGACCCAATTGGAATGCTTTAATATAATTTTCAGCGTTTCCATTTTGCTTCTCATGACGTGTCTGCTTTCCCTGGTGGAATGGTAGAATGGCGAGAATATGGGTTTTGAAATTAGACACCCTATATTTGGATTCCAGTTCAATCACTTTTTAAAGACTATCAGCAGGCCCTTTAATTCTCTGAGGTTTAGTGGCTTCATTTGTAACTGGCCATAATACTTGCCTCATAGGCTTGTCTCAAGATGCACTGCAGCAACCACCTCATCCAGTATCAGCCACAGGTCTGAGCCTCTTCTGGCTCCTGCTTCCCTTCCTCCTCGCTCCCCTTTTCACCTGCTTTTTCTTCCCCTCCTTCCTCAATTACTTTTTTCCTCTCTCTTTCTTCACCCCTTTCCCTATCCTACTCTTCTTTCTCTACTTCCTTCTTTACTTTCTTGATATTTTTACCTCTTCTTCTTTATCTAGAATATTGTGAATTCAACATTCTGCATATCCTGTAGGAAAAATTATTGTTACTCTAATCATGACATATCAGCATTTAAATCAGATTTCCCAAAATATTCATTCAACAAATACTGACTGAGCAACTATTGAGTGCTAGCAACCATGCTGCTCATTAGGGATTCTGTAAAGAAGCCACATGTATACACATGGACCATGGCAGGTGATGATTGGAGCTGTGAAGGAGAGTCGGAGGGAGGGAATCAAGGGTAATGGGTGCTTTTAAAGATAAATTCTGTGGGCGTGTGTGTGTGTGCATGTGTGTGTGTGTGTAGAGCTTTCAACAGGTGACTCTGCTAACATTTTTGCAGGAAACCAAAATGCATCAGTCAGTACTCAGTCAGGAAAACTGAGCCACTATAAATGTGATGGGAATGAGGGACTGATTGTAGCAATGCAAGTTGACACAAATGTGAAAGGAGGAGCTGGGAAGTGAAGCTCTGGAAGAGAAAGATAGAGACTTGGAGGAAGAAGCACAAGTGCGGGCGGGCAGGCAATTTGCAGCTTGCACAGACTCTGAGGAGCAGAAGCAAGACTTGAAGAGGGGCAGGTGGAAAAGTCCATGGAAGTCATCCACTCTGCTGGGACTGCTGCCTCTGTTTAGCTGCTGCCCCAGGCCCATGGCCGAGCTCCTGGTGGGTGGGCTTGGGGCCAACCTTGGCCAGCAGGCCCGCCGTGAGAAGGATGGGGTGACCACAGAGTGGAGGAGGCCAAGGGCCAGTTGGGGTGCACCAGATGCCCCTGCATCCATCCATCCCTGTGTCTGATGGCGATGACTATCTGAGTATGACGCCTTCCTTCAGTTCCACTTCCCAGACCTCATGCACGTCCTCTTTTGGTCAGCTTACCCAGGAGCCACACAGTGAAGGGGATCCTGGAAAACAGTTCCCAGTCTTAGCCAAGCAGACATTTCACAACATGACCGAGCTCAACCCCTACCGACATGGCAGTCCTATACATTTGTCAGGACTATATTTAGCTTCCTCATAAAGACAAACCAAATTATACTTCTGACTAAACTAATGCAATTAGCCCATAAGCAACCAAAACATGCTTTCTGTTAGGGACTGAATGATTGTGTAGCCTCAAAATTCATATATTGAGGTCCTACCCCCCGATGTGATGGTATTTGGAGGTGAGGAGATGAGATCATGAGGGTGGGACCCTCATAATGAAATTCGTGTTCCTATAAGAAGAGGAAGAGACATCAGAGCTCTCTCAGCCATTTGAGGACACAACACAAAGGAAGAACCCTCACCAGGAACCTAATCAGCCAACACCTTGAACTTGGACTTCTGGGAAAAATAAATTTCTGTTGTTTAAGCACTCAATCTACAGTGTTTTTTGTAATGGCAGCCCAAGCATATGAAGACACTATCTCTTTCCCAAAAAGGATACACAGAGTCCCATATGTGATGTTTTCCATTCTTGGGTGATGGTTATTCCCCTTCCAGAGGAGACACCTTTGATATTATATGAAGTGAATATTGAGATGTAAAGTTAACCATTAATTAGCCGATCTTATGTTAAAATGGGAAAAGGAAACAAAGTAGTAGGATTTAAATACACAGATAAAATTCGTATGTGGGCATAAATATGTAGTCCTCCCTAACTGCAGACCACGGTGCTCTTTTGGGTCCCCAGGAATTAGCATTAGCTCAGAGCTAGTATCCAGTAATCCTTGGAAAGTTCTCCTAATGAACAGCCACCTTGGTAGATGTGAATCTCTTTGCAGAAGGCCAGGAGAAAAATTTGCAGTATAAAATGTTGGAAGCGGAGCAGGGTCCTTCCCCAAGGAGAGGCAGCTGTGAGGGTGGGTATTTGGGGGAACAGTGTCCCAAAAACCTAGATAGATTTTTATATGTGAATGTGTGTGTATATTCCTATCAAAGTAAGGAAGAAACACCATCACTGCTAAAGTTTGTATTTTTACAGCTGGTCATGTGGTTGCAGCAGGTGACTGCGATTTATAGCTTCCGCCTTCTCCTTCCTCTTCCATATTACCATCCCCTCAGCAAACATCTCAGCTGCTGACCGCTCCTGGCCTCATGGGGTGACCCCACCTTCATTCCTACAGATCTTTGCTTCTAGCAGTCCTGCTTGCATTGGGTGATTTCATTTTCCACTTACTGTTAACACAAAATTTGGAAGGACTGAGAGATACCCCCTGAATCGTCTGCATTTCAGTTCTGTTCCTGCCTTTTTCCCCCAACCCACCATGAGTAGTAGCCATTTCATTTTCTTGTGATGGTCACATGACCCAGCCAGTACACTATCTTCGTTTGCCTGTTGGTTCACTGGCACAAAGACCCCAGAGTGGCCAGATTGGCCTCATCTTGTATTCAGGAGGTAGTCTTCTCTGGAAGCACTCTATCCTTTGGAGCCAATGCCTCTAAACCAGCACAGCCCCAAGCTGTAGGAACAGGCAGTGAACCTCCAGCGAGTGAATCATTAGGGGTGGTAGTTAGAGGAGCCACTGCCATTTTCATCCCTTGGTCCCAGATCTATGCATCCTGGTGGTGGGAGAAACAGCACCATATATTGGATGGGGGATTCAGAGCCTATCTTATGTCTTGGGAGCACTGCCTCACCCACATGAAGCATTCAATCACCCTGCTGGTACTTTCATTAAGCCTTCAAAAGGCCACGTCACTGTTCTAGCAGGCCAACTGCTCTGGGTAAGTTCATTGAATTTCATAACATCATTCCACTGGCATTCTTCATTTTTTGTATGTTGGGATCGCCTGTCAGAGGAGACAGCACATGAAATACTATGGCAGTGAGTATGGCGTTCATTAGGTAAGTCCGCAGATGGTGGTTTTGGCAGAAACATTGGAGAGAAGGAAGGCAGCTTCACGTTCAGAGTAAGCGCACCTCCTAGTGAGAAGAAGGGTCTTGTCCTTTCCATGATAGAAGTGTTCCAGTGGAATCTACCTGCCCCCAGGTTGCCGGCTGGTCCCCTGCAGGGTTTTAAGGAGATGTATATAGGGCCCAGTGTTGGCTTCTGCTGTTGTCGAATTGGTCATCATGGGAGTCTGAAAACATGTCTGCAAAATATTTGACACTTCTTTAAGAAGCAGAGTCTCTGCTCTCTTACCTTGAATCTGGGCTAAGCTTAGTGACTTGAACCTAACCTGTAGAAATGATGCCACACCGCTGTCATCACCACACCACTAGATGGCTGTCACAGCCATGCCATGTCTGTTTGGTCTTTTGAAAATTTGCTCTGGAGGAATGCATGTAAGATGTTCCACTACCCTGGAACTGTCATGCTGGAAATGTCGCATATCAGCATTCCAATCACAGCTCCAGCAATGCTCCTGGCTACCGCATTAACTTCCAGACAAATGAGTGTGATGTCTTTTTTTTTTTTTTTTAATTTTAAAGATGTGGAGTACAATTCAGGATTAGGTCCGTAAGTGGTCATTGTAGAGGTAAAGTTTGGGGTTCCCATTAATCCTCACTTTGCCTGGTTTGGGATCAGGTACCCTTACTGATGTTATGTCCTCCCCCCTCTGCCGGCAGTGTGCTACTGCCAATCCCTTTCTTCTAGTATTGTGATAAATGTTCAGGGTCCACTTTTGAGTGAGAACATGTGGTACTCAGTTCTTTGTTTCTGTGATAGATCACTGAGTATGATAGACTAAATCCTTCCAAGTTGTTGAGTGTGCCATCTTTAATGTCCAGTCTAGTCAGGCCTTCAGATGGCTGTAGTCCTAGCCAACATATGACTGCAATGGCAAGAGAGACCCCAAGTGGAAAAAGTCTAGCTGAGATTTCCCCAAATCGAACCCACAACATTGTGAACAAAATACAATGATTGTTTTAATCTACTACATTTGGGGGATATTTTATTTTATGTTATATTTGTCTGTTTTGTAGCAAGAGCCACTAGAATAGATTTGGCACCGGCAGGTGGGTTTCTACTGTAACAAAAACCTAAGACTTACAGTGGTTGCTGGGGACCAGGGAGCAGTCAAGCCGGAAGGACCAGGAGAAGGCTTATATGTCTGGATCCTCCAGGAAACACACCAAGTATGATGTTTGAAACGTAGGAAATGTCTTGGGAGAGACAATGCCTGGAAAAGAAGCAGAGGAGAGGGAGAAGCAAGAAGGGAACGCCTTTAGACTTTCAACTTTAGATACAGACCTGACACCTATAAAATGAGGCAGAAGTCGAGGAGGAAGGACTGACTAGAAGGAGCCTCCAACAGCAACTTTG